TATACAGAACCTTTACATCCAGTTCACTTTGCCCCTTTCATAGTGCAAACCACACAGAAGTATTCCTGACTTGATATGATTTTCAAAAGGCTACGTTATGGGCTAGATACATATAGGGTTTTAAAATATTGCATGTTTTATGTAAACGAGATAGTTCTTTCTCTTTAATTATAATAATAATAATGGAAGAGACCTTGGAGGTCATCTAGTCCAACCCCCTGCTCAGGCAGGAAACCCTATACCATTTCAGACAAATGGCTGTCCAGTCTCTTCTTAAAAACTTCCAGTGTTGGAGCATTCACCGCTTCAGGAGGCAGGTTGTTCCACTGGTTAATTGTTCTCACTGTCAGGAAGTTTCTCCTTAGTTCTAGGTTGCTTCTCTTCTTGGTTAGTTTCCATCTGTTGCTTCTTGTCCTGCCTTCAGGCGCTTTGGAGAATAGCTTGACTCCCTCTTCTTTGGGGCAGCCCCTGAGATATTGGAACACTGCTATCGTGTCCCCCCCTTGTCTTTCTCTTCATTAAACTAGAGACATACCCAATTCCAGCAACCGTTCCTTGTATGTTTTAGCCTCCAGTCCCCTAATCATCTTTGTTGCTCTTCTCTGCCCTCTTTCTAGAGTCTCAACATGTTTTTTACATCGTGGTGACCAAAACTGGATGCCGTATTCCAAGTGTGGCCTTACCAAGGCCTTGTAAAGTGGTATTAACACTTCACGTGATCTTGATTCTCTCCCTCTGTTGATGCAGCCTAGCACTGTGTTGGCTTTTTTGGCAGCTGCAGCACACGGCTGGCTCCTATTTAAGTGATTGTCCACTAGGACTCCGAGATCCCTCTCAGAGTTACTACTATTGAGCAAGGTAGAACAGTCCATTTTCCCATCTCAGCCAACGCCATCAGTTTTGAAATTTAGCTTCTTCTTCTTAAATTTTTCCTTCTTTTCTTCATCCTTTTCTTAGACTCCCCTTCTGTTTCTTTGACAGGATTATCAAAACACCCTCTTCTCTCTTTGCAAATACAGAGAGAAGGGGCCAAACACACAAGCCTTGGTGTGTTCATGCGTACAGAATAGAGTCCAGCGTTTGTCAACCCTGGGAAAGATGGACTTCAACTCCCAGAATTCCCCAGCCAGCCATGTCCATCCATCTTCAAGTTCCCAAGGTTGAGAAACGCTGGAAAAGACTTAAATGTATTTCTAGGTTGCCTTCCCCCCCCCCCCTTCGTTCTTTCATTGCCGCCAGTTGTCCTGGCTAGGTGAGAGCGCACAAACCTGCACGTATTTGGGCGAAAACCTGAATCATGCAGAATACATACTTTAAGATAAGATTTTATTTTATTTACTTTTCCCAGCCTGTGTCCCTTGGGCTCGTTCACCTGTTCTTTGTCGACACCCAGGGGTCAATATCTCACGCTTCAAGAAGATTAGCAGGGCAGTTTAATTTCTAAGAGGAATCAGGTATTTTCCAGATGTGAGAATTCCCACACAGCAAGACTGAAATTTAGAATAGAATAGAAGCTGGAAGGGACCCTGGAGGTCTTCTAGTCAGGCCCCCTGCTTGAGCAGGACACTAGGATTTAAGGAGGAAGGTGATGTGACGTGCCAGCTGAAGGACTGAAAGCTGTGACGCCACGTTGTTGTTGAACAGAGAATTATAATAGGCATAATAATATAATAAATGAGAAATTTTCTGATAGTTCGGACAATTAACCAGTGGAACAACCTGCCTCCAGAAGCGGTGAATGCTCCAACACTGGAAGTTTTTAAGAAGAGACTGGACAGCCATTTTTCCGAAATGGTATAGGGTTTCCTGCCTGAGCAGGGGGTTGGACTAGATGACCTCCAAGGTCCCTTCCAACTTCTTTTTATTATTATTATTATTATTATTATTATTATTATTATTATTATTATTATTATTATTATTATTACTACTACTACTACTACTACTACTACTACTACTATTATTAATCAAGGAGAGAAGCAACCTAGAAGCCTCCTGCCCACCGTCCCACCTGCCAGAGACCCCCTGGATCTCCCCCAACCCTGCCCGGCCCCCACAGGCGTCCCTCCCCACGAGCAACATTGAGGTGATCACGTCCACCTTGGTCACACCCACTCAATCTGCCATGACCACCACAGCCACACCCATCCAGTGGGCCATGCCCCCCTGGCACCCGGCGATAAATAAGTGGGTTTGGGGTTGCAGTTTGGGCGCTCGGTCTCTAAAAGGTTTGCCTTCACTGGTATAGGGTTTCCTGCCTGAGCAGAGGGTTGGACTAGTTGACCTCCAAGGACCCTTCCAACTACTACTACTACTACTGCTACTACTACTACTTCATAATAATAATAATAATAATAATAAAAGTTGGAAGGGACCTTGGAGGTCATCTAGTCCAACCCCCTGCTCAGGCAGGAAACCCTATACCATTTCGGACAAATGGCTGTCCAGTCTCTTCTTAAAAACTTCCAGTGTTGGAGCATTCACCGCTTCTGGAGGCAGGTTGTTCCTCTGGTTAATTGTTCTAACTGTCAGGAAGTTTCTCCTTAGTTCCAGGTTGCTTCTCTCCTTGATTGCTTCTTGTCCTGCCTTCAGGCGCTTTGGAGAATAGCTTGACTCCTCCTCCTCCTCCTCCTCCTCCTCCTCCTCCTCCTTCTTCTTCTTCTTCTTCTTCTCTACTACTACTACTACTACTACTACTATATCCTGTAAATTGTGCAGCCTGAGGGATGCCTACAATAATTCTCTAAACTATCCAGGTTTGTGTTGAGCTGCCTCCGTCTTTCTTTTCTTTTCATTGTTGTGGACTTTTTGACAGATGCAGTGGCAAAACGTGGAGCACGTCGGGGATCAGAGTCCCTACGTCACGTCGGTCATCCTGCACATTAAGCAGAACGTCCCCATCATCCGCGACAACCTGGCCTCCACCCGGAAATATTTCACCCAGTTCTGCATCAAATTTGCTAAGTGAGTTCCCTCGCTCGGGCTGCAGTCAAGGAACAGGCATTTTGGCCACAGGGAAAAGGGGAATTCCTTCTGAATACAGATAGTCCTCGGCTTACAATCAAAATGACAACAGGACTGGGGGGGGAAAGTGACTTACGACCAGTCCTCGCACTTACGGCCATCGCAGCATCGTCGTGTGTCCCACGATCAACTGAGCTCAGAATTTCTGTCGCTAAGCGAGATATTGGTTAAGTGAGTTTTGCCCCATTTTACGACCTTCCCTGTCACCGTTGATAAATGAGTCGCTGTGGTTGTTCAATTGGTAACGTGGTCATTAAGTGGAATCTGGCTTCCCCCCTTGACTTTGCTTGCCAGAAGGTCACCAAAGGCGATCACAAATACGAGTCAGTGAATTTTGATCCCATGACCACAGGGATGCTGCGACGGTCGTAAGTGTGAAAAAGTCCTAAGTCCCTTTTTTCAGTGCTGTGGTAACTTCAAACAGTCCTTAAATGAACTGTTGTAAGTTGAGAATTACCTTTATTTACAACAATTGCAATGTCCCAGAGCATGGGTAGGCAACCTTGGCTCTTTTATGACTCGTGGACTTCAACTCCCAGAATTCCTGAGCCAGCCATGCTGAGGAGAAATGGAGAGGCTTCCATGCTGAGTCATGCTGGCTCAGGAATTCTGGGAGTTGAAGTCCACGAGTCATGAAGGGGGCCATAGTTCCCCCATGCTGGCTCAGGAATTCTGGGAGTTGAAGTCCACGAGTCATAAAGGGGCCATAGTTCCCCCATGCTGGCTGAGGAATTCTGGGAGTTGAAGTCCACGAGTCATGAAGGGGGCCATAATTCCCCCATGCTGGCTCAGGAATTCTGGGAGTTGAAGTCCACGAGTCATAAAGGGGCCATAGTTCCCCCATGCTGGCTCAGGAATTCTGGGAGTTGAAGTCCACGAGTCNGAAGTCCACGAGTCATGAAAGGGCCATAGTTCCCTCATGCTGGCTCAGGAATTCTGGGAGTTGAAGTCCACCAGATAAAGGGGCCATAGTTTCCCCATGCTGGTTCAGGAATTCTGGGAGTTGAAGTCCACCAGTCACAAAGGGGCCATAGTTCCCCCATGCTGGCTCAGGAATTCTGGGAGTTGAAGTCCACCAGTCACAAAGGGGCCATAGTTCCCCCATGCTGGCTCAGGAATTCTGGGAGTTGAAGTCCACCAGTCATGAAGGGGCCATAGTTCCCTCATGCTGGCTCAGGAATTCTGAGAGTTGAAGTCCACCAATCATAAAAGAGCCAAGGTTGCCTACCCCTGTCCCAGAGTCACATGACCTCTATTTGTGACATTCCCAGCCAACTCCGACAAGCAAAGTCAATGGAGGAAGCTACCTTTGCTTAACAACCACAAAATTCGCTTAACAACTGCCGTGTCTCGCTTAGCAACCATGACGGAAAAAAATCATAAAATCAGTTACGGCTGATTTAACAGCCGTCCTGCTTAGCAACAGTAATTATGGTCCAGATTGCTGTTACAAGTCAAGAACTACCTGTATTAGGGTAATTATTCTCGGCCACGGTTTTTAAAGTTGGATTTGTCTCCTTCTCTGTTAGAAAAGAGTCTTAGGGATCTTGCATATTCTCCCTCCTCCAGAGGCATTTTAGAAGTCAGTTTAAAAACAAGCTCTTGACTGTGTCATTCGAAACAGGTACATTTGCCGGTGCTAAATGGTGTGAATATGCTTTAATGTCTACAGCATTAATTTAGTTTAATTAATTTAATGCTCCAGCACTGGAGGTTTTTAAGAAGAGATCATCTGTCTGAAATGGTATAGGATAGGGTTTTCTGCCTGAGCAGAGGGTTGGACTAGAACAGGGCTTTTCAACCAGTGGTAGGGGTACCACCTGTGATATATTGGCACCTGGCAGGTGGTACGCGACCATCCTAGAAAAGTGGTAGCGGGGGAGGGGAATGAGCTGAACCGGTGGCAGCACCGCACAAGCCTGAGCGAGAGACGGCTGGAGCTGCAGGGCTGTCAGGGCTCAGCGGAAGCGCCAGGATCAGCGCCAGGCTCCAGTTGGAGTTCGGCGCTGATCCTGGTGCTTCTGCTGAGCCCTGAAGAAGCGCCGATCAGCTGGAATGTTGCAGCATCTCCAGGGTCTTGTGATTTACATTCAGATGCTTGGCAACTGATTCATATTTATGACGGTCACAGTGTCCCAGGGTCACTTGAAGTGACCAAAACCTGCTGCAACCACCCAGCAGACGGGGGGAATAAAAACAAAATACCCCCCACCCCACCCCCGCTGCCAATCCCCAACAGAAATGCTCACAACAATGAAAACCTCGGACAGGAGGAAGAGCGCGGCCGGGCGGGCAGGCAGGTGTCTTGCTCGGCTGTGGCTTGGGGGGCACTTTTTTCAGTGCCATTGTAACTTCGAACAGTCACTAAGCGAACTGTTGTAAGTCGAGAACTACCTGTACTTTATCACTTTTTCCTTTTTGGGGGGGGGGGATCATCAAGTTTTTGACACCTTGCTAGGTGACTGGTGGTACTCGGATGTTGCCATATCCTAAAAGTGGTACAATGGGTGAAAAGGTTGAAAAGCCCTGCCCTAGAAGATCTCCAAGGTCCCGTCCAACTCTGTCGTTCTGTTATTTGCTCAACTTTGGCCACCGTAAAATGGGTGGACTTCATCTCCCAGAATTCCCCAGCCAGCAAAGTTGAAGTCCACTCATCTTAACAGTGGCCAAGATTGAAAAACACTGGAGGAGAGAAATCTGCTTTTCCTTTAAGCCTGATGGGCCGTCTTCATTTCTTCCCTTCTTTCCCGCAGCTGTTTCATCCCCAAGTTTATTAACCACCTTTTCAAGTGCAAGCCGATCAGCATGGTGGGGGCCGAACAGGTGAGGATCCAAGGGGGGAAAGGTGTGGTTGGCAAGCAAGAGGTGGGAGGTGGGCTCAGGAGACTTACTTGATGTGAAAGCAGCTTCTTTCCCAAACTGTTTTTAGACCATCTGAACCGTTGGTTGAATACACACTAACAATCACAGCAAGATCATGTTTGTGTTTGAGGGGCCCTTGGTGCTCTCTGAGCTGGGTGGTTTTACTGCAGACGTTTCATGACCCAACTAGGTAGTGTCATCAGTGCTAGAAGGGAGTGAGGATTGTGGAGACGACGAGGAGTCCTGTGGGGTCCTTGATGCTCTCTGAGCTTGGTGGTTTTACTGCAGACGTTTCATGACCCAACTAGGTAACATCATCAGTGATAGAAGGGAGGGGGGTTTGCGAGGAGAAAAGAAGGAAGGGAAGCAGGAGGAGGAGAAGGAGGAGGACTGTGGGGTCCTTGGTGCTCTCTGAGCTGCGTAGTTTCCTTGCAGATGTTTCATGACCCAACTAGGCAACATCCTCAGTGATAGAAGAGAGTATGGTTTACAGAGAGGCAGGGAGGGAGGAAAGGAAGGAAGGAAGGAAGGAAGGAAGGAAGGAAGGAAAGAAAGAAAGAAAGAAAGAAAGAAAGAAAGAAAGAAAGAAAGAAAGAAAGAAAGAAAGAAAGAAAAAGAAAGAAAGAAAAAGCAAAAAAGAAAGAAAGAAAGAAGAAAGAAAGAAAGAAAAAAAAGAAAGAAAAAGAAAGAAAGAAAGAAAGAAAGAAAGAAAGAAAGAAAGAACGAACGAACTGTGGGATCCTTGGTGCTCTCTGAGCTGCGTAGTTTCCTTGCAGACGTTTCATGACCCAACTAGGTAACATCACCAGTGCTAGAAGGGAGTGGGGTTTGTGGAGAGGAGGAGGAGGAAGAGGAGGACAACTGTGGGGTCTTTGGTGTTCTCTGAGCTTGGTGGTTTTCTTGCAGATGTTTCATTACCAAAGTAAGTAACATCATCAGTGCTTCAGCATACATTATAGATAGATACTGTTGATGGATAGATGTATGATAGTGGCAGGCAGGCAGACAGACAAACAGACCGACAGATAAGAGAGAGCGAGAAAGATGTGGGGTCCTTGATGCTCTTTGAGCTTGGTTGGGTTTTTTTTGCAGACATTTTGTGGCCCAGCTAGATAACATCATCAGTGCTGGTAGGGAGTGGGGTTTGGTCTCTGTTTATATATTCGTGGCTAGTATACAAAATGTCATTTCATCCTCCCTCTTATTATCTGTTTCAGCTGCTGCTGGACACTCACTCCCTGAAAATGGTCCTGCTTGATTTGCCATCCATCGGCTCGCAGGTGGTGAGGAAAGCTCCCGCCAGCTACACGAAGATCGTGGTCAAGGGCATGACGCGGGCCGAGATGATCCTCAAGGTAGACCTTGTGTTGCCTCCAAAGAATTTCTGAGGAAGGAAGGAAGGAAGGGACTGACTACCTGGCTGAAGCCACCTTGTAGGACAGGTTTTATTGGTTGGTTGGTTGCCCATATTGTCTTTACAAATAACTCAAGGCAGCAAACATGCCTAAAGCAGGACTAGAACTCACAATCTCCTGGTGATTGACCCAAAGTCACCCAGTCCGCTTTTGTGCCTAAGTCGGGACTAGAACTCACTGTCTCCTGGTGATTGGGCCAAATTCACCCAGCCAGCTTTTGTTCCCAAAGTGGGACTAGAACTCACCGTCTCCTGGTGATTGAGCCAAATTCATCCAGTCCGCTTTTGTGCCCAAGGCAGGACTAGAACTCACCATCTCCTGGCAATTGGGCCAAATTCACCCAGCCAGCTTTCGTGCCTAAGGCGGGACTAGAACTCACCGTCTCCTGGCGATTGGGCCAAATGCACCCAGCCAGCTTTTGTGCCTAAGGCGGGACTAGAACTCACCGTCTCCTGGTGATTGTCCCAAAGTAACCCAGCCAGCTTTCGTGCCTAAGTCGGGACTAGAACTCAGCATTTCCTGGTGATTGGGCCAAATTCACCCAGCCAGTTTTTGTGCCTAAGGCGGGACTAGAACTCACCGTCTCCTGGTGATTGGGCCAAATTCACCCAGCCAGCTTTCATGCCTAAAGCAGGACTAGAACTCACCATCTCCCTGTTTCTAGCCTGGTGCTTTAACTCAACTGGCTCCCTTCCCCTTACTCTCCACCCCCAGTTGTGGGCTTGTTGAGCTGTCCCGCACTTTCAGAGGCAACCGGCTGCAGAATCCTTCACCAAATTCCTTTCCTCCCTTCCGGAGTGGAACCTTCCAGCTTTTCCCAGGATGGATTTTCCTTCGGCATTTCCAATTAGATCCCAGGCAAGGCTGGTGACAGCTGCTTCATGCCTGGGTGGGGACAGGGGAGGTTGCAGCACCCCCCCCCTTGCATTCCCCCCCAATCTCTTCCAAAGCGGCTTCTCACGTTCTGGGTTCGGCCGCTGGGAGGCCGAAACGCAAAGGTTTTCTTGAAAAACCCAAAAGAGGCTGGAATCGGATAGGAAACATAATAATAATAATAATAATGATAATAATAATAATAGTAATAATAATAATAGTAATAATAATAATAGTAATAATAATAAAGTTGGAAGGGACCTTGGAGGTCATCTAGTCCAAACCCCTGCTCAGGCAGGAACCCTACACCATCTCAGACAAATGGCTGTCCAATCTCTTCTTAAAAACTTCCAGTGTTGGAGCATTCACCGCTTCTGGAGGCAAGGAGTTCCACTGGTTAATTGTTCGAATTGTCAGGAAGTTTCTCCTTAGTTCTAGGTTGCTTCTCTCCTTGATGAGTTTCCATCCGTTGCTTCTTGTCCTGCCTTCAGGCGCTTTGGGGAATAGCTTGACTCCCTCTTCTTTGGGGCAGCCCCTGAGATACTGGAACACTGCTATCCTGTCCCCCCTCGTCCTTCTCTTCGTTAAACTAGACATCCCCAATTCCAGCAACCATTCCTTATATGCTTTAGCCTCCAGTCTCCTAATCATCTTTGTTGCTCTTCTCTGCACTCTTTCTAGAGTCTCAACATCTTTTTTACATCGTGGTGACCAAAACATTGCAAGGGCTTCCTCACGTGGTTAGAATTAAGCCCCTTAAAAGCCATACTGGTGGTCCTTGTCTTACAACAGCTTATTTAAAGACTGTTCGAAATTACAATGGCACTGAAAAAGAGTGAATTAAGATCATTTTTCACCCTTATGACCGTCGGAGCATCCCCATCATCAAAAGTCAGACGCTGGGCAACTGATTCATATTTATGACGGTCGCAGTGTTCCAGGTCACGTGATTCCCTTTTGCCACCTTCTGACAAACAAAGTCCATATGGGGGAAGCCAGAGTCACTTAACGGCCGTGTGACTAACTGAAGCACTGCAGTGATTCACTTAACAACGGTGGCAAGAAAAGTCGTAAAATGGGGCAAAACTCAATAAACTTCTCACACTGCTTCACAGTGCTTTTACAGCCCTCTCTAAGCGGTTTACAGAGTCAGCATCTTGCCCCCCAACAGTCTGGGTCCTCATTTTACCGACCTTGGAAGGACGGAAGGCTGAGTCAACCTTGAGGCGGTCAGGATCGAACTCCCGGCAGTGGGCAGAGTCAGCCTGCAATGTTGCATTCTGGTCACTGAACCAGCCCGGCCCTTATAATCAGCTGCTCTTCTGTCCTTACAGGTTGTGATGGCCCCCCATGAGCCTGCTGTGGTCTTTGTGGACAACTACATCAAACTCCTCTCCGACTGCACCACGGACACATTCCAGAAGATTCTGGAAATGAAGGTGAGCTGGCCGCCAGGGCACGCGGGCAGCGAGAAAAGCCAGAGTTATTTCACTTATTCTGGAGAGTAGCAAAAATAAAATAAAATTGGGAAGATGGGTGTTGAAGGACAGGTTATCCAGGACCAATTTGGTTCCACCCCTAGCACATCTGGATAAAAAGAAGACAAGTCAATCTGCCCAAACTTGCCCTAATACACCTCATTTTACAAACATTTTGATTCCGTGAAACTCAACTTTCCTGACATCCCTTTTAAGTATGAGTGGCTTTGAAGGACCACAGCTGTCAAATTTCCCAAGTAGGTTGCCATCTTGATGTATCTGGAGGTGCGCCTTCCAGATGTTCTGATTTGTACCTTCCAGATGTTATGGGTTGAGTCTTCCAGATGTTCTGATTTGTGCCTTCCAGATACTATGGGTTGAGTCTTCCAGATGTTCTGATTTGTGTCTTCCAGATACTATGGGTTGAGTCTTCCAGATGTTCTGGAGATGCATCTTCCAAATATTCTGTCTTCCAGACGCGATGGGTTGTGTCTTGCAGGTGTTTTGGAGACCCGTCTTTGAAGTTCTGGGGCATGTCATTCAGACATCCGGGAGATATGTCTTCCAGATGTTCTGGGGCATGTCTCCCAGATGTTCTGGGGCATGTCTTCTAGATGGTCCATAGGCACGTCTTCCACACGTTCTGGGTGTGTCTTCCAGTTGTGCTGGAGGCATGTCTTCCAGATGTTACGGGTTGAGTCTCCCAGATGTTCTGGAGGCACACCTTCCAAATGCTATGGGCAGTCTTCCAGATGTTCTGGAGGCCCATCTTCCAAATGTTCTGTCTTCTAGATGCGAGGGGTTGTGTCTTGCAGGTGTTCTGGAGACCTGTCTTTGAAGTTCTGGGGCGTGTCATTCAGACATACTGGAGATATATCTCCCAGATGTTCTGGGACATGTCTCCCAGATGTTCTGGGGCATGTCTTCTAGATGTTCCATAGGCATGTCTTCCACACGTTCTGGGTGTATTTTCCAGTTGTGCTGGAGGCATGTCTTCCAGATATATCTTCTAGATGTTCTGAGGGGCATGTTTTCTAGGCTCTGGAACAGGCCTTCCAGATGTTCTCCAGGGACACAACCCCTCCTTATCGTCCCCTTGTCCGCTTTCTTTCCGTAGGGCCTTCTCCACCCAGCACAAAACAATACACCACAGCCTTGAAGGCCCTCTTAGCTCAAGCTTTGAGGGCAAAGATGGCTGCTCTGCCTACGGTGACCACCTCCTCTTCCTCCTTCTGCCCCCCCCCACCCTCCCGTGTCTCCACAGGGTCTCAAGCGAAGCGAGCAAAGCAGCATGTTGGACTTATTCCGTCAGAGGCTCCCGGCGCTTCCCTCGGGCGCGGAAACGGGCGGCTGCGTCTCCCTGACAGCCCCCACGCCCGAGCAGGAATCTTCCCGCATCCGCAAGCTGGAAAAACTGATCAAGAAGAGACTCTAGCTGGTACCCAGCCATCTTCTTCTCCAGCTTCCGAAGGCATCGTGGTCCAAGCTTACGGCTGGTTGCAGGTTATGTGCCTACCCCATCGAGGGCCTTCCAGGTAGCCAAAACCAGTTGTCTAGCTGTCTCCTGTAGCCTGTCCTGCAGGTCTCCCCCCCAATGAATTCAAGCATGCCCCCAAATCGTAGGAAAATGTTGACATGTTCCAAGGTTTTATCTCAGAAAATGAGATCCCGGACAATTTTTGCAAGGGTTGATTTTGTTTTTAAGGGGTAGTTGGTAGGACGGCTAACCTGGGTCTGTGAAGGTTGGAATCTCCTTTTGTGACGTTCTGAATGCAGACTTTTTTTTTTCTCAGGAGGATCGGGGTCCACGTCTTCATAGACCCCCACGTCTTCCTCTTTCAATGGGTGCTTTTTTTCCTTCTCCGAGCTGTTTTCCAGCGTTAAGTCGGTGATGGTTTTATACCTGCTTCATCACATAAAGCAGTGTTTCTCAACCTCAGCACCTTTGAACTGTGTGGATTTCGATTCCCAGAATTCCCCAGCCAGCAAAGCTGGCTGGGGAATTCTGGGAGTCGAAATCCACACAACTTAAAAGTGGCCATGGTCAGAAAAAAAATTGACCTAGGCAGTCTTTCCCTCGCCCCGAACAAAACTCTTTGGGGCCGGGTCAATTTCGGAAAGCGTCAATTCCAGAAGGAATTTCAGTCAATTTCAGAAACGGCTACAAGTCCTTTAGATGGGGAGAAATAAACTTCGAAATTCATGTTTCATTCACTCGATTAAACCCGCTTGATCAATTTGTAATTCCCTCTGCTCTCATCTCCCCACCTTTGGTGGGGCAATCCTTAACACACACACACACACACACACACACACACACACACACACACACACACACACACACCTTCTTCTGCGATCGGGGACCAGAGTCTAAACGCCTTGTCCCTTTTCACCAGCCAACTTGACCCAAGCCAAGATCCCCCACCGAGATTCCTCCGGATCTCACCTCCCCTCGGATTCGGTCCAAACAAACTTCTTTCTCCAGACAATTTTAATTAGCTGCTGGTTTTCATCATTCCGGATTTATTTTTTATTTTTATTTTTATTTTTAAAAAAAACCACACGGGAGGCCGCTGTGTTTTCCAAAGTCAGCACACACAACGTGCCCAGCCCTCGTTCTTTGTGTGTCACTGTGCTTTTTTAAAACGGTGCCTACTGATTTTTTTTTTAAAAAATATATTGTTTTTGCTTCCTCTGCCCTTCACTTGTCCGAAGTGGACCAAGCCTTTTTTTTTTTTTGAACTTCCTGGATTCCTGGATCTTTTTTTTTTTTTAATTAAAGATCCTTTTTCCTTCCTTGGATGCTGAGAACGTCTGGATCTGGAAATGGCCCCGGGGGTGTTGAAAGCAACTGTCGGTTTCTAGTTTTCCCTTTTTTTTTTTGCTTTCCAGAGCTAAAAGTTTTTTGGGGAAGCTTGGAGCCCTGCGCGCTCCACATTTTTGGCCAGGAGATCCCTCCGTGCGAGGGAACCCCACCAAATCTGGGCTGCTTCGCAATGCATCGTTTAAAAACAGGGAAGCACCAGAGGGGGGGGAGAGATTGCCCCTTCCCCAAAATCCCTGCGGTTGCCGGAGATTGGGTGTTTTTGTTTTTTTTTAAAGGCAAGGGGGGGTCTTCTTCGGTGGTGGATCCCGTTTTGACCTGGGTTGCAAATTTGGGGGTTTTGAGGGAGGCCTGCAGGCTGCTAGTTGCTGACCCCATGGCTGCCCCCCCCAAAGCGAAGGGCCGTTCGAGTCCCCGGGAAGTGGGGCAGGGTGCCCGCCCGGCCCTTGGCCCCAGTTGGTTGCGATCCAGGTTGAGCAATGTTTGCCCTGGCTTGGCTTGTGAAAGGAAAGTCTAATCAAGGAAGGTGTAACCTGGACCTCCCTGCTTTTATGGACTTCCTGAGAGCAGGACAAAGGGACCTGCGGGGAGATCCCCGGGCCTGGGATCTCGCCCCNCCCCTCCTTCCTTCCTTCCTTTGTTCCTTTCTTTCTTTCTCTTCTCCCCCTATTTTTCTCTTTCTTTCCTTCCTTCCATCCCTCCCCTTCCTTCCTTCCTTTCTTTCTTTTCTTTGTTCCTTCCTTTCTTTTCTTTCTTTCTCTTCTCTCCCTATTTTTCTCTTTCTTTCCTTCCTTCCATCCCTCCCCTTCCTTCCTTTCTTTCTTTCTCTCTTCTCTCCCTATTTTTCCTTCCTTCTTTCCCCTTCTTCCTTCCTTCCTTTCCTTCCTTCTCTTCTCTCTTTCTTCTCCCTATTTTTCCTTCTTTCCTTCCTTCCCCTTCTTCCTTCCTTCCTTCCTTCCTTCCTTTCTCTCTCTCTTTCTTCTCCCTATTTTCCTTCCTTCCTTTCCCTTCTTCCTTCCTTCCTTTCTCTTTTTCTCTCCCTATTTTTCCTTCTTTTCTTCCTTCCATCTCTCCTCTTTCTTGCTTGCTTGCTTTCTTTTCTTTCTTTCTCTCTCTCTGTTTCTTCTCTCCCTATTTTTCCTTTTTTCCTTCCTTCCTTCCCTCCCTTCTTTCCTTCCTTCCTTTATTTCTTTCTTTCCCTATTTGTCCTTCCTTCCTTCTTTCCTTCCTTCCCATTGATTTTAAAACTGTTGACTTAATTTATCAGACCCAAATAATTCTGGCTAATAATTAAGACTCCTCAAAGTTGTACATTTCCTGTTAATAAAGTGGATTCTCCAGTCTCTTGATGAGTTTGGTTTTACTTTCTTGGGTTTTTCCATTAAAGATAAAAGGTTGGGAAACACTGGATTAGACTGAGCTCAGCTGCCATTTTGTTCCTCTTCTGCTCTTTTGTTATTTCTTCATCTTTTCTTTTGTTCCCTTCCTTTTTTTATTCTTTTCCTGGTCTCTCCCAGGCGAGACTGGCGGCTGTATCAATCCACATGATCGATGAAAATTAAGAAACATGGTTACAGAGAGTCCTCAATTTATGACCATAATTAATAAAAAAGATGCTGAGACTCTAGAAAGAGTACAGAGAAGAGCAACAAAGATGATTAGGGGACTGGAGGCTAAAGCATATAAGGAAAGGCTGCTGGAATTGGGCACGTCTAGTTTAACGAAGAGAAGGACGAGGGGGGACATGATAGCGGTCTTCCAATATCTCAGGGGCTGCCCCAAAGAAGAGGGAGTCAAGCTATTTTCCAAGGCGCCTGAAGGCAGGACAAGAAGCAACGGATGGAAACTAATCAAGGAGAGAAGCAACCTAGAACTAAGGAGAAACTTCTTGACAGTTAGAACAATTAACCAGTGGAACAACCTGCCTCCAGAAGCGGTGAATGCTCCAACACTGGAAGTTTTTAAGAAGAGACTGGACAGCGATTTGTCCGAAATGGTATAGGGTTTCCTGCCTGAGCAGGGGGTTGGACTAGATGACCTTCAAGGTCCCTTTCAACTTTACTATTATTATTATTATTATTATAAGCTGGGAATTACGGTCGTAAGTCATTTTGGTCATAAGCTGAGGCGTCACGTGACAATTCAATTTTTTGGCATTTTTTTATGGCGGGCATTAAGCGAATACCACAGTCCTTAAGCAAATCTATTTGATCCAATGGGTGTTTTTTGCCAGTTACAGGAAGCAAACACCAGAAACCCCCCCCAAAAAACATTGAAAATTGCGGTCATGTGACCGCAGGACACCGCAAATGGCCATACAGGTGAGCCCGTTGCCAAGTCCCCCCCCCGAATACAGTCACGTGACTGTGTGTGTGTGTGTGTGCGCGTGCACATACGCACATCTTCAAAATCAGGTTGTAAATAGCTTTGGGCAAGTCTGTTGTAACTTGGTCACCGCGATGTAAAAAAGATGTTGAGATACTAGAAAGAGTGCAGAGAAGAGCAAAAAAGATAATCAGGGGACTGGAGGCTAAAACATACAAGGAATGGCTGCTGGAATTGGGTATGTCTAGTTTAATGAAGAGAAGGATGAGGGGGACATGACGGCAGTCTTCCAATATCTCAGGGGCTGCCCCAAAGAAGAGGGAGTCAAGCTATTCTCCAAGGCTCCTGAAGGCAGGACAAGAAGCAATGGATGGAAACTAATCAAGGAGAGAAGTAACCTAGAACTAAGGAGAAACTTCCTGACAGTGAGAACAATTAACCAGTGGAACAACCTGCCTCCAGAAGCGGTGAATGCTCCAACACTGGAAGTTTTAAGAAGAAACTGGACAGCCATTTGTCCGAAATGGTATAGGGTTTCCTGCCTGAGCAGGGGGTTGGACTAGATGACCTTCAAGGTCCCTTCCAACTTTACTATTTTTATTATTATTATTATTGTTGTTGTTGTTATTATTATTATTATTATTATTATTATTATTATTATTATTATTATTATTATTATTATTATTATTATTTGCTGGCCACTTCCAGGCGATGGTGCATTTCTTCATTCCTCACAAAGGGGGACCCCTCCCCAGCATGCACCCAGGGGGCGGGGCCGACGCGGAAGGGGCCGGTTCCTCGCTGTTTCCAGACGGCCTTGTGGAGCTAAGACTGAATGCGTTTCAGCATAGATGGCCACCACAAAATTGTACATTGGCTCCCGCCGGCCTGGGTCAGGGCCAAGGCAGCGGGGGCCGTTCCCTCACTGTTTCCAGGATGGCTTCGCGGGCCACATGAAACCACGTCGCGGGCTGCATCCGGCCCCTGGGCCTTGTGTTTGACATGTCTGCTGTAACAGCTGCTCTGGGTTCAAGTGACAGGCTAAGCCCTGGGTTCTCTTCCCAGAGCTGGTTGTAAATGGGGGACAGGGTGGGCTAGGAGCAGGCGTGGTTTCGATGTCTTGCGAACCTAGCCGGGGAGCGATTTCAATGGAGGAGGAGAAAAGCTCCCAGTTTAGAGGGTCAGAGTTATTTACACGTCCTCGACGTACAACAGTTCATTTAGTAACCAAGGTTACGACGACGCTGGAAAAAAGTGGCTTAGGAGCGTTTTTTCACAGTTATGAC